ACAATGCATTTAAAAGGCAGCAATGTTGCTGCGTTTCTCAAGTTGTATCACTTGCCGAGTATTTCTAAATAAACCAGAAGATGGCCATCTTTGAACCACCTTAACACAAAAAGCACCCTGATGGACCAATATTTGACCCTACAGGAAAAATATTTGTTGTAAAATAATTTTATTTGGTCTCCACATGTTTTTGTAAAGATAAATTGCATCAGATTGCATATCAATTAAACTACATGACCAATAATGCTGCCTTTTTTTTTTTTTTTTAATACTGTGGTTATTTAGTCGACCATTACTACTAATAAACTGAGCAAAGGGATGTTGCTATACAATCACTGTATGCTTTCTAAGGTACTTTCATGGTTCTCATTACCAGTATATTTTATCTTTGAAGGCACTTTGAATCTATCTTGAGGGCACTTGTAACCTTTTGTGCCTTTCTTCTGCATTCATTATGCATCTCTCACATAGAGAAGCTGTAGGGTCCCCCATTTTACATGAAATAGATGCAAAATGGAGGTAAAGAGAAAGCGTGACTTACTCAAAGGGCTAGCTGGCTCACTCTTCCTCAGTTGACTAAGTATTTCTGAAGCATAGGGGAGAACTCCTGCCCTGAGGAGTTGCATTTTTGTGTCTTTGAAATATAAATTATGAGGAGAGGTGGAACACCCACTTACCAGAGCTGTAGCTTGATTCGTCGGCCATCCAGAAGAATCGTTGTAGTCTTATAATCTATACCTGTGTGGAAGACAGTTGTGCAAATCTAAGAGCGGCTTGCAGGTGTACAATATACACAGAGATACTTATAGATTTCAAGGAAGCTGACCTTAAAAAAGGCTATTTGTCATTAGTACTCTATGAAATGCATATGGATAAGGAGAACTTGTTCATATAAACTTACAAAGACCTTTCATATTACTTAAACTTGGTCCATCCATTCAGAGCAAATGTCTCAGGTTGATAAATGATCTGTTTTATTCATTATCATGACAATATATGTGCATAAAGAGTTTTATCAATTTTTCAACAAAAGAAGGTAGAAATAGGTTTTCGCCTTTTCTGTCATACATATGTTGCAGACTAAATGCTGTTCTCTTCTAGCTTTACTGCCTCTATTATTTATTCCCTCCTTATCATCTCTGACTCATAGACAGCTCTTATAACAGGTACATGTGTCCCCCTTATATAAAAGCAGCAGATGGTGCAAGAAGCAGCTTGCCTTTTGTCTTCCAGCCTTTCCCATTCCCACTGATAACAAGACCTATGCAGTTAGTGTCCAGCAGAACACGGCAGGTTCCATTTATGCCTTCCCATAACATGCCCAGGTCTTGTGGTTGAGCTACAATATCTCTTTTAGATGAGCTGAAGTACTGCAGTGTTTAAGGGAAGTATGTGTACATACTTACACATCTATACACATGCGCACGTATAATTTAGCTCACATCTTTGTACATTCTGTAGTCTTTGCAGACAACCATCAGTGCTATATAATACTAGCTTTTTATTGCTAACCTGACATGCCTCAAGAAGCAATTAAACTATGTAAAATTAAGCTTGAGTCTAGCATTACTGTTTTCTCAGGCAAAATCAGTGTGTTAGTTTCAATTAGATTAGGTAAAACTAATCAGAAGCAGTTGTGTAGGGGCAGTTGACCCCTGAAAATATCCACCACCATGCTAGGGTCAGTGGCTTTGAACACTGTGCTTCAGTGCTGCATCCACAAATTGCATAATTACAAGCATTAAAAGAAAGAGAGGCTTTTATTTTATTAAATGTTATTTAAAAAGTGTGCATTCAGTATTTGCACTGTGCAGCCAAGCAACACAGTTTCACTGGTAAATGCATTTTTCTCATGTTTTCTTTGCTGTGTCATAGTTAACTTCTTGAATTGAACATTTATTAATAGAGTCCTCCAAATTAAGTTTAAAAAGCATGGAAACTAGCTCTGAAAAATGTACTGAAATGTAGGGAGACTTGTACCTTGAAAGAGAGAGACACGCTTTATTTCCAGAGCATAAGCAAAACAAGAGAGTGAGAAAAACACATTGACATGGAAAACCAAACGCATGCAGAAGAGTGCCCTAATTACTACCGAAGATTTCAGCGCATCTATATCAGAGGTACAAGGATGACAGTGCTGAAGATGATCCTGTAAGTGTAAGATTCATTATTATGGGTGGCATCAACATCCAGACAAAAAAGTTAATCTATATATCTCTCTCTCAATGTTTGTACGGATAAACGTAACAAATGCTTACCAGTAAGGTTTTTTTTCTGTATATAAGGGGGAAAAGAGAAGTCTGAATGTTTAATAGAGAGTGTATCAATTACTTATATCACACTCTCAGAGAAAAAGTATGGCATAGCATGACACACAAACAAATGAAAAACACAGCTCTGGGGAGACACCTTCCATGCAGGAGCTTTGCTCTCATTGCCTGAAAACATGTTTTGTCACCAAGTTAACAAAATCGACTTCCTGCTGCTCCTCCAGGTGGAGTATTGCTACGTGCTGCTACCAGCTGTCATGAAGAGGCTCTTACAGCAGTCACTGATAGTTGCCTCCATTTTTGTAAACAAAAAAAAAGGTTTAAAACCCTCTGGCATAAATAAGCGGACAGCAAAGGAAGCCTTACCTCCTTTTCCACAAGGAAAGGAGTTTGTAAGACTAGGTCTGGAATAAAGAACGGGCATTAAATTACCAAACAGAAGTTATGGCAAAGTAACGGTTGTCAGCCGAGTCAGGTCCTGTAGCCATAGGCAAAGAAAAGAGATACTTCATTTGTGCTGCCTCTAAAATTTGCATCACGCTGAACTGCTCAAATGGCATTTGTCACATGTAAGAGGCTATCTGAGGCCAACAAAATTTGAGCCCATTTTATGAAAACAACCAGAAATTTGAATTCACTAAGTTATAATCACAAGACACTACTCTTTAAAATGGATGCGCTACCCCAGGAAATGTTCTCCTAGTTACAAATCAGGATCATTTCTTGCCCAGAGATCAGTGCACCATTACCCAAGGCAGCTACCTCCAGGTTTCAGTCTCAAGAGAACTTATTTGTACACAACCATCCCCAATTTCTCCTCCAGAACAGACACCAGGGGACTTTGAATGCTTTTATGACATCGCACAATAGCATCAATTCCTTTTTTTGTAGGATACCTATTGTAACATAGATAGTAAAGCATATAGTGAAACAAGTTCTTTATCTCTAGTACAAATAACTTCACTTCTCTAATTTCCTCGCTTCTTGCATTCTAAAATTCACATTTGTCGATTAAATAGCTAGTAGTCAAAAACTTCCATGGCAATATTAACATAGTTTTTACTTCTATATTGTATCTGCTGATATTATTAGTTGACTTAGACCAGCTTTAAAGTTTATAAGTTGAAAGAGATTTAAACCCAACAAGTTTTGAATGATAGTTGCACTGCAGTACTATTAATTAAAAATATTTTTATCTATGAACTGATTTTACTTGTTATATGGTTTGTATCATTTCTAGTAGCAGTAGCAGCTACCAAACATCTGTCCAATTTGAAAGCCAAGAGGACAGGTAAGGCGCTTTGCCCTACAGAAGGCAGGTAAGCCACATAGTCCTACAGAAATGGGTATTTGCAGTTCTGAGAGCGAGGGCATTTCTTAAGAACAAGAAATCGAGAGAAAATGCCTGTTACCGAGATCCTGGTAAGGAAGAAGCTAGCAGTGACCAGAGAAGTGATAGAAGGGAAGCTTAAGAAGCAGTCTTGCTGTGACATGAAGGCCAGGTAAGTAAGAAGATCAGGAAGATAGAGGCACTGTGATGGTAAGTCACACATTATTAAGAAACATATTTCAAAGATGCCACTTCATTTCTATTGCCTGCAGGATAGTTCACTTGAGTCACATCAAGATATAGGTTTACTACTCCCCCTTTTACAAACTAATGAATACATCCTACTGTCAAGCAGGAGTATATTAGGAAAAAAATCTCTTGACACAGCTCCTTCTAGGCTGGCAGCAAAGAGAGGGAGCTAAATTAAAAAAAAAAATCAGAGATGGGTTCAGTGCCGTGCCAACTTCACAATTCCCAGAGAAGCACCGAGCTGAAGGGCCAAGGACAGCAATAATAGGCATTTCAAGCTTTTAGCTTACTGCAGAAGTGTGAAGTGAAGCATCTTCTGCCTTTAATTCAGGGTCTTATCTGTACATTTGGAAAGACACACACACACCACCCCCCCCAACACCCACCCCCAACATATCACCACCAGTTTTGGGAAACTTATTTTCATTTATCGGCCAAAGTGTTCCAATCGTCCAGCTGTATTGGTAAATAGTCAAATCTACAAAACACAAGTTAAAATAAAAAATAATTATCATAATAATAATTAAAAAAAATTAAACCTATAGACAAAGCCTTGGGACACTGACTAGCCCAGGACGTTGAAATTGTGCACTGAAAAGCAAGTTTCATCATTTCAGAAATTCTTGAAAACATAAAACATGCAGAACAAACCCTGCACGACACTATATAACTCATTCCAGCATCCTCTGCTACCGCTGATATTTCCCACAGGGTGAAATACCTCCACTAGTTTATCTACAGTTAATGAAGAGGCACAGACCATGTTTAGCAAACACTGACACATCCCACACAGTGAACGGACATCCATCATTCTGTTAAAAGCCATACCAAGCATAGAAAATTAGTATTGCATAGCTAGAGGATACACAGCTGAATAAACCTGGCTCTGTGCTTTGCACCGCAGACCATAAACTACTGCAAGTCGCTCATGTTTAGCCACACACATAATGCAAAATTACTTCTTTTTTTTATATGACATGCACAAGCCAAGTGTGAAAAATATCCTATTACCAGCTGCTGTTTGTGAAAGTATCTTATGTGTTTCTCAAAAAGAAAGATGGATTTGGAAACTTCCTTATTCTTCAGCTACTATACAGATAGAAGCAGTTGATAATATAACCTGAATATCTCCACAATTAGCATTTGCCATTGATTAAGAATCAAAACAAAAAGCCTTTTGCCATGAATCATCAGGAACAGCATGAAACCGTAACAATGAGACCAACAGATGTGGATTGTGCTGTTGTAGAAATCAAATGTCCTTACAGAACATTATTCACTCATTTAGTAAGACAGAATAGCTTTGTTTGGCTATACAACTAGAATGTATCTCTACACAAGAAAGGGAAGAAAAAGGCTGCTAAATCAAAAAAATTCAACTCTGAAGTGAACCAGACAAACCTCCCAGTGCTTAATACTTTCAAATGGATGTTTTTTATAGGATTTACCTAAAGCCACAAATTGAAATTAAAAAACCTGAAACAAACCACTGTCCTTGTTGCGGGGTCTGGATTTCTTAAATTTAATGATTTGTAATAGATTATTTTTTTCTTTTGAAACACAAAATTAACACATAGAAAAAAAAGAAATCTTATTGAACTCAGGAATGTAGTAAGATTCCCAAAAAAAGCATTCAGCTGTTTGGTAACAACTGCAGTAAATAGGAAGTCATCTTCTCTGCATCAGTGCTTTGCAGCCATTACCACACCATGACTTATGCTTCACTGACCACATAGCATTCATGACCACACTGATTATTTTAAGGCTTCCTGGGAATTTCTCTTTCTCTTGAAGCTTACAGCAGTATATCAAAGTTTCTAGTTTTTTGTGATGGGTCTCTTTAGGGCAGAATCCTTCAGTCATTTGAAGTTGCTCATTTTGCGTTCCAC